GAAGAGACAGGCTTTATAGTTTGCAGTGAAGAGACAGGCTTTATAGTTTGCAGTGAAGAGACAGGCTTTATAGTTTGCAGTGAAGAGACGGGCTTTATAGTTTGCAGTGAAGAGACGGGCTTTATAGTTTGCAGTGAAGAGACAGGCTTTATAGCCTGCAGTGAAGAGACAGGCTTTATAGTCTGCAGTTCAGTTTTGAGACTTAAGTACTTGTTAACCAAAAGTTCATTCAGAACAATTCTTCAGAGTACATTAAAAACAGAAGTGAGATCAAACATAAATAAGATACAAAAGGAACCTAAAGGTCTATAAAATAAAGCACTCTATTAAGGTAATGTCATACTATATATAAAATATGAATTGAAAGTTGAAGGTCAAATTCTACACCTGGATTTATAATAAAAGTGTAAGTTGCATTACCAGTGATGTTTATTATCTGCAATAACACCAGCAATTACAACTTATTACTATATTCCATGTGCCAAAGATGGACCTAAGCCTATTATAGTGTACTTTACCTCATTTAAGCCTGCAGCACTTCTATAAAATAGATAGTCTGTATTTAACCAAACAAGAAACGGAGGTTTACAATGTATGTTCAAGTAATACTAAGAGCCAGAGTGAATTCACAAGGCCATGAGTTCCCCATCTGTGACACTCTACAACATCGGTTCTCGATCTCCTAATGCGGCAGTACTTTAATACGGTTCCTCATGGTGTAGTGGCCCCAACCATGAAATTATTTTGTTGCTAATTCATAACTAATTTTTCTATTTCTATGAATCATAATGTAAATATCTGATATGCAGGATATCTGATATCCAACCCCTGTGGGGGTCACGACCCACAGGTTGAGAGCCATTGTTGTTCAATTCCACTGTTTTCTCAAAAACTATTCAATTTTTGTTCCTCCTTGCAGATTCTGAATCTGAAAATTTATCCACTGGTTAAAATGTACTTGCAACTTGAAAGGCACTACTCCGACTTGTGCAGATCTTCTGGAGTGTGTACAGCAGTGAAAGCTCTGAACTGCCACACAAAGTGAATACCCGCAGCTGAGAAGAACACAGACTGCCTCCTCACTGCAGCTCTGACACTGTAAACAAGTGTCCTTTGCGTGACCTACTGAGGACTGGGTTATTGACATTTCTCTGCTTTATCTAACGAATTTTCTGCTTTCAAATTCAGGCCCCAAACTCAGATGGAAAGTGGAGTCTGTCATTGTTACCAAGCATGAGAAGGTCATAGTGAGCCTTATGGACAAAATCCTTGGTGGAGATTCTTTGTTCGGCCTTTTTGGAACTATTATCCACAAGTTCCACAATCAATAATACATAACAATACATAACCTTTAAACATAAATATACATACTGTATTATGCATCAGCAGCTGATGAGAGATGGGGACCCCAGAAACTAAACCTGACTGTGATGTTAAGAGTAATGGTTCCCTGTTCCCTGTGTGGGTACAAAGTCTTCAGTGCTATACTAGCCTGTGTGAATACAGTCAGCTGAGAGCTGCCATAACTCAGTTAGGCTCCCCTCATTTCTTTCACAGACCCTCCACCATCGCTTCCCACTAAGACCCTCTGTTGCCATCCTCATTAACAGGTTGGAGCTACATGTGTTGAAATCTGCCCATGAAATGAATCTCTCAAATACACTTTGGCTTTCCCAGTATGAATCTACGCTAAATGAATTTAACTTCTTAAATAACAGATACCCCTTAATGATGACTGCCTTAGCAGGTTAAAGTTTTTAAGGTAGTAAACTATGTATACGATGAGCAAAAACATATAGAGGATTGAAAAATATCAGCACAAACTGAAAATCTTACTTTTATTACCCAAGTCAGAGATTTTATTGGGGAAAAAAATTACAGCACATGTAAAACTCTAAAGAAGGACAATTTGGGGTTACAAGAAAGGAAGCCTTCAGTAGTCCTCTGTTTGCAGTGAAAGTCTGACCAGGAGAACACGTCATGGCCTAATACACTCATTCCATGTAAAATGCAGACAGAATATCTCCATGGAGTGAGGCCTAATCACCTCTTTACAATTTAGACAGGGAAGGCAGCTTGCGGTGTGGTGAAGCCATGTATCATCAATACCATGAAGCTAACCTATCAGTGTAATAGCTTCTATAAAATACCACAGTGAGGCTGCAATAAGCCTAGAAAATGGGCTACAAATCCCAGCTATGCTCAAGCAAGCAGTGGACCAAAAATAAAAATAGGTAAAACTAAGCCAAGAATTAGACAGCACTCATCTAGATTCATGATTGGTGAGGCAAAGTTCATAGGCTGGGGTGTTATGGTGACTTATTCAGATCTAAAGGATAGTGACCATACAAAACAAAAGCATTTCTAGAATTCAGATAAAAAAACACAATTTTTTGCTCTGAAACACACTATAAAAATCCCTACTATAATTACTAAGCCCATCTCTGCACCTTTCAACATGGGAAAGTCAGGAGGCTCAACTCGCAGCGTGTTACCTTTAGTCTCCCCAGAGACACTGTCATACATTCCTACTTAATTTAAATCTGTGAGAACATAATAATCGGAGGTAAAAGCATTGTCAACTTTAAGTTTTCTTTCCCATCATATTAAATTTAGCTATTAAATGCTGAGCTGACAATCAAACCATACAGTATGAAAACATTAAACCACAAAGACTATCAATTATAGAAATTTTAGAAAAATAGTTATCACTTTAAAATAACCACTTTAAAAAACTCAAATGGCTTGAACTAGTAAAATGTAAGAATTATACCACCAATGAAAATGTTTGATTTCCCTCCTGATTGGTGAAAATGAGCTATGCAAGTCTTTTGAAAATTCAATGGCACACATGGGCTGCCATCCTAAGGAGGAACAAGCATCTCATGTCAGACATGATGGTGAGACTCGGTCATACCGTATTGCTAAACCACACGGATCAGTGAGCCCATCAAGTGCCAAGCCAGTGAGGCAGCTGTGACTAGTTCAAGGATCAGACACACTCCACTGAAAATGTAAGAGCAGATGACACCCTATGCTGACCAGTTTGTCCGCTGGGATGCGTGAGAGGAAGGGGGACTTTTCCAGTACGGTAAAACTATAGCAAAAGGATTAATACAGAACAATTATCCAAGTATAAAATGAACTGAATTAAACATAACCTTGAGCAAAGCTTATCAACCTCACCCATTACTTACATCACCTTACTCAAGTACCCTGAGTAAAACACCGCTGGTTTAAATCACACTGGGAGAGGAGACTTCTGTTAAGATGAACCATGAATGGCAATGCATCATTTCTTATTTACAACAGTCAGATATTAAAACTGAATCTTAACCAGTTATAGAAATATTAAGGAATAATAGGTCAAATATAGTTTTCAATTTTCTGTCTTTAGCTAGCATTTGGCAAAGCAAGCAATATGTTAAAAAGCATAAGAGAGAAAAATATATAACATATCCAGTAGTTTGTAGTTTCTATCTACCCCGGGCCAACCTATATCCCAGGGCAGACTCCCCAGTCAGATTCACTTCTGGCTAAAAGAAAGAACACCAATCCTGCCGCAAAACCAGCCCCAGGTCTGCATCAAAGAGGCTCCCACGTCAGTGTATTCCTCCAGGGAAGAGGACAGGAGCCAGGTCCCCTCGGATGCCATTCCCCAGGTGTTCAAAACGTAACTAACTTATTAGCATTAGAAGATTTGGCTTACAGGGGAATCGCACTGGTCCAGTTTGTAGCCTACAAAAAAATGGATTACTTTTAAGTATAGCATTAGAATATAAAAGAAAAATGAGGATGTGACTTTTTATTCCACAGGAATTGAAACATTTCCAAACATGACAATTCAATAAAAAAGCATGCCTACCATTGAAGGTGGAGCCCCTCCAGATTTTTTAATATTCTTTGAAGGCATTCCATGAAGGCAACTGAGTCTAGCTTGGAAACCTGGGAAATCAAACAGTCAATTTAGAAGATACTGTGATCACTGGGGCACAGAAGATCCTGTCAACAGAGAATTAAAACTAATTTGCTGATAGTTGTGAACACCAAGAAGATTATTGGGAAAAATGTGAAATTCATACATAAAAGAACTGAGGTAATTCCCAGCAGGGCTCTAAAGCTCTGACTTAACTAGCTACACTCACACTAGAACTCTCTCTCCAATCCACACTCCTGGTTAAAACCATTAAACCATCCTGATGAGTGCTGTGAGAGGCAACATTTTCAGTGATGTCAAAATGGGGACTGTAGTACTCGGGTCCAGCAAGCTTCTCTACAGTTTTCCACTGTTTCTACTTTGGTCTAGCCTTTACGTCAGTCTATCCAGGAGCCAGGAGCTAATGGGAGCCAGCACTCAGGGAGTACTACTGACCTCTTCTGCCAGGATGTGACATGAGAGGGAAGGAGCCACTTAAGATACTCTCAAACACAGGGTCGGGTAGGTTGGTGTCCAGCTCTGCCGGGTTTTCCTTTTCCCACCAGGGCACAACTCCAGCAATCCCGCAGGCTCCTCCCGACTCCTTCTCATAGAACCAGTCACTCTGCTCGTCATCACCTGGGCAGAGACAAACACCCGCCCCAGAGTCAGTTCCATCATTGCAACAGTATTTCAGGAGCAATTATTCACTGATGTTGACAAGGGGAACCTAGGTGTAAGCAGGCTGTTAAAAATGATCATTAAATCCACTTAAGCTCAGGGAGTAGCATCATTTTATCTTTCTCTTAAGGAATTATTAAGAGCTATAAAGAGACAGACATATAAAAATGATTAAAGTATAGAATGTAGACGGCTTACAAAAATAAGAAACAAGTAAGATTTGAAAGTGTGTCACTAACTGTGCCTAAGATCCCAAGGGGTCGTGAGTCCTGATAGTTTGTTTGGAAGAGGTTCCATATGTGAACGGTCACTTTCCCTTTTAAGGGACTTCAGATTTTGAAATCTCTTACTATTAAATGGAAACTGCAATCATGAAACAAAAGCAATGCAAAAATGTCTAAAGTTTAGCTGAGGATGATGTATGAGAAACAGATTTAGTTCAAATAAACAGAGTTAAAAGCAACTGTAAAATGAGAATCACAAAACTGTTTAAATTAGGGAATAAAATGTTTTGTTAAACAAAAAATCACAATTTACAAAACGTAATAGGAGAGGTAAATTAAAGTGTCACAGAGCAGGTCTAATAAATGCAAGCAGGGACTCACTTGAGACTGACTATCTTATATCTGAATTGCCATTAATACAACATTATGCCAGGTACTGACACAAGCCTAATCCCACTACTTTACTTGGAAGGCTAAGGCACAGTTGAAGAACATAAGGGCAGCTTGTGTTATATAAACATAGAACCTGTCTCAAAAAGAAAAACAAAAAACTATTCTAAAAAAATGAAGTTATTTGACTTCACTTTTATATGGTATGCAATGATATTGTTACAAAATAAAAAATTAAATAGTAATTAAAAGCTTGGGCAAGGAATGGTGATGGGTGAATTAAAGAGCCATTGTCCTATAACATGGAGAAAGACACATCAGCTGTATTAGTTTCCCCATTTAAATAATTAAATAAAAACTGGGAACTCACATAGTTCTGAATGAAGTGCAGGGAGAACAAGGTAAATTAAGTAACAGGAAAGCCCTCAGCAACACGAGCTGCAGAGAACTCACAGTAACTGCTGCTATTGCTTCCTAAGTCACTGCCTTCTAGAGAGTACCAGGCTTGCCAACAAGTTCCTTTTTATTAAAGTTTATCATTTTATTTGATCATATCAACATCTATAAGCTAAGTAAGATCTGTATTTTAACAAAACTCAACTCTATCACCAAGGTAGCTGTACTGACATGTTTCTGGTAAAGTGTACATGAGTAAAGAAGGTGGCCATCTAGTACTTTCCTTACCAAGGACGTCTGGGAGAAAACATGGGCAAGATTATTGTGCTTTTCTTTTCCCATTATAATTTAGGACAATAAATATTCTGTTTCTTTCTGTAAACCTACTTTCTGCAAACGCATTCTTCTTGTTGTTGTTTGATTACTTTGTTTTTTGAGACAGGGTCTCACTAAGTAGCCCTTGCTGGTTTGGAACACACAGATATATCATCTGTCTGCTTCTGCCTCTAAGTACTAGGATTAAGGGTGTAGACTATCATTCCTGGACTAAATATTGCATTTTTAAGAAAAAAGATACCTCTGTGCTAAGTCCACATATGGCTAACATCTATGGCTAGCTCAGCTTTTATGATCTGTGCAATTTATGAGCGAGAAGCCAGCTGATGTGAGTATGAGAAATTATCTCAGGTAAGCATGATTCCTCACTCAAAGGTGCTGAGGTCTAAGAAAATTCTGGATTTTTGCAGGATAGAAAAGACCTCAAATATAAGATAGTTCACTTATAATAGTTTATAATAGTGAATTAATAAAAGACATTTAATTACATATAAGTCAGACAGTATAAGTGTGACAACTGAATAAAATGACAAACCATTAAAATCCATTTGAATGCTTCCACAGTTTTACAAACATTTGGAATGAAAAGGAGGATAAGGATAGTGTCTGTCAGTCTTGCTAAAGGGACCAAATTGCAAAGACTGAAGTATGCAAAGCTTAGTGGCAAGTGCTACTTTTTAAATATAATTTGTAACTTTGTTTGGAAGCCAAGAAATCTTCTGTAGAGTACAGAAACTAGCTATGATACTAAACAGCAGTTGCTAGGTAGCATTTGTAATGCCTAGGGCTTACTATTGGCAGCTTAGACAATAGCCAGTAAGATGCACAGCTTTAAAATGGACTTTTCTAAAGGGGAACAGTGTTTTGGTACCTTGTCTTCCCTCATCATTGGTGAACAAGCCGGCGTCAGTGCTGCTGAGACTGCTGGAGTCACTACAATCAGGAAAGGAAGACAAATGAAGCAGATCAAAACAACAATTGATTCCCCAGTCCTCCAGCTTTCGGACACCCCAGCTCAGAGATGGACCTGAGCCTGACAAAGATCTGGAAGAAAATAAGATGTTTTCTTTCCTTTTTTTGTCAAATCAAACTTCAAGTATCCCAGTTCCATTAACTATAGAATGCATTATTTTTGGCACATAAAAGCCCAGGAGTCCAATGAGACCTGGACTATACACAGATGTGACTGCGGAATGCTGACACGGGGACATACTCTACTGCCTGCTATCACCAAAGGCTCACAATTCCTGTCTGCTGTGCTGTGTAATATAGCTTGAGCCTCAGAGGCAGGCCGAGACTTCCATCAGCACAGAACTGCAGGGCCTACGTGAGATGACGCCCCTAACCACATCTGTACAGAGTCCACAGAAGCTGCTCTGAAACTTTCACACTGACCTCACTGCCTCCCAAGGAGAGAAGAGTTCATGCTGGCGGCCATGCCATAGTGCAAAGTCAAGCCACAAAGTGAGTTTTAGCCAAAATTAAGAAGGGTTCTAGCTTATGCAGGAAAATTTAATATGGAAATTAGGATAAATAACATATACTCCAAAAAGAACACACCATCACTGTGGACTGTGGTTCTAGTGGAAACAATAATTACATATACGATAGGCCAGGTATGTGAGAATATAAAAACAATAAGAACAAGTCATGAGAAGCTTGGCCTCTAAGAAAACTGTTACTCTAAAGCTCTTACATACTTGCTTACTCTTTACTAGTGATTTTAACCAATCAACAAATGTCACTGGTGATCTTTTAAAATATTTATTTGGGGGCTGGAAAGATGCCTCAGTGGTTAAGAGTACTGGCTCTTCTTCCAGAGGACCTGAGTTCAATTCCCAGCAACCATATGATAATTTACAACTGTCTGTTAACTCCAGTTCCAGGAGATCCAACACTCTCACACAGACATATGTGCAGTCAAAATACCAATGTACATAAAATAAAAATAAATATTTTAATAAGTATGTATTTGTGAGAGTATGCGTACACCAAGATATGAAGATTATGTCCAGGGGAGACAACTTATGGGAATCAGTTCACTCCTTCCTCCGTGTGAGTTCTGAAAACCAAACAGAGTGTTAGGCTTGGTGCAAGTGCCTTGACTCTCCAGCCCAAACTAAAAGACAGAAAACAATGTAGTCTAGCTTATTAAAATCAGGCACATTAGCCTGTTTTAAAATATTTATGATGAAAGTCACTGCTAAAACCCAAATCCACATAGTTTTTGCATATGAACTATAAGTTTATATGTGCTTTTCAAAAATATAAGATATAAGAGTTTGTCAAAAGACTCACTTTTTAAACTTTCTTCTAATTGACTCTTGAAGTTTCCTATGTAACAATAGTCCTAAGGTACTGAAGCCCTGCCATCCCATTTACAAACACAGATAGCCTTGCATGAAAGAGATAAACACCTCATGAGTTTGACCCTCCTCTAAGCAGACAAGGTCCAAACTGCTATTTCTGCTTTTCCTGTTTTCCTTTTAACCCTGTCCTCAACACACCTCAGGCACAATACCTCTTCTGAAACCCCCAAGATAAAATGTACTTACAATTCAGAATCCCTCAGATTCTCCAAAGACTGACTCTACATACAATGGCCTCCCAGAAGTCTAGTGTAGCACTCCAGAATCAGATCAGCCATATTTTCCAATTAGACCAATGCTTACTAAATACAAGCCAGGTTAAGCCTGACCACAGACAGCAAGTATTTTACAGCCTGCAAACGGTGAGTCAATTCACTGCTTCTTCTGCCAAAGTCTTCTGGGTTCTCTAATCTAGTCTATATACACCCAGGTCCACCTTTTCACAGTGTAACTGGTTGACTACGGGTTAAGCACAATACCCAGAAACAGAAGAAAGCCATTTGAAATAATTCTAATAAAGAGTAATCAAGAGTAATTCTAATAAAGCACACTGTACTCATAAACTGTAGTGGAGGTCCCACAGTAACACAGAGTATCGGCAGTGAGAGGGAACGGGCTCCAGGATGAGAATGTGAAAGGCAGGGGCTCTGCAAACTGCCTTTGTAATGTTTCTGTAAACTTCAAATTACTTTTAAAAAGCTCATAAAACATTCATCTATACATATACCACCTAAGATAGCTTTCAGGGTAAGAAATAAAAATTATTAGTTTATACTTGCAGAATTCAATTTAAGTTCAAGGTTTTATGGGCTGGCTTCCTTATAAATTCTTTCTATTCTTACGTCTGGCTCTCTTGTTCATGCTCTCCCTCCAAAAAGCATGCTCACCTCTGTCCACAACATGACGTTCCTCAAGATGTGTGGAACTTTAGATTCTGGAGGACCAGTCTTTAGTGATCCTTGCTCTCTACTGGGTCTTTTTTATGGACACATAAAATAATTCTACTGTGTTACTGATACCGTGCCAGTTGCTACAATACTTCCCTGTTGCTATGCTCAGTAAACAAGAAGAGCTTAACAAGAAGGGCTTTTCACTTCCAGCTACAGGACATGACAATTCATCTGTAAGGATGCAGTATCTCTTCTCCATTTTGGAAATGATTTTTATAAATATTGTTCATGTAAGAATATATTCCATGAGAAATGTATACACATTAATATTAATCCCTATTCTATTTGGTCCATTTTTGTCTTTTCTATGAATAAAATCCAGGCATCATCTGAGAGCACCAGCCTTCCAAATACAACTTTAGACACCTGCAAGCACTTTTCTTCCGTACCAGCACACACTCCACCCTCTACTGTATGGACTGAGGTCAATCAAAGGTCAACAGGACACTACTGCCAAGATTATGCTATGCTGTTTCTTCACTGCCAAAAATTCCCATTTCCTCTATGATGAAATCTGAACACCACAGCACACAAGCCTTAAAGAAGCACTGCTGCTGTAGCCTCAGATCCTCTTCACATCCTTGCAGCATGGTGCAAACACTTCATCCTACACAATCTGACACTCGTGCCACTTCCTCACTGACTCTCCAGTCCTCCTTTGTCTGAACAAGTCTTAGCTCTCACTTTGAAACACAGCTCCTGTGCGAAGCCGTCACTCACATAGAACATCCCATTCTCAGCATTAGCTTGTATGCCTAATGCGGCCTAGGTGCATGTGAGAGTGTCTGTGTTATTAGTCTTGAAGTCATCCGTGCACAGTGTAGTAGTTAATCAAATGTTTGTCATACACACACACAAAAACAATTCTCTTAACTATAAATCAAACCCAAGAAAATATAAACCTTCTTAAAACAGAAAGCTGTAGGAATAGAAAACACTTTAACCAGGTAGGAATCCTTCTACAAAAGAAATTGCACTGAGCCCTTAAGTGGCAGCAGAAAACTGGTATAAAGAAAAGTTTAAAATTCAGGGAAACATAGTTTAAATTATTTGATTTAGAATATTGCATTTAAACTATGTGCCTGAGATGTGAGCAACTGGGAACTTAATATCCCTGATAGTGATTTCTTCTGTTGAAAAAAATGAGGAGAAATAAAGAGAAGAATTTGCCTCATCGTAGTTCCAGGGTGGGGATGGAAAGATTAAGAAGTAGATCACTAAAAAGAAGGCACAGAAAACAAGAGGGAGGGGCTTTCAAAATCAGCCAGCAAAGCAGGTGACCTGTGACAAACCCAGAACTCCCTGACTCCTCCACTGCCACACCCCCAGCAGTGAGCAAGAGCACTGACTGCTTTTGGCTGACAGGTCCTCAGTGACAAGGACTCAGTACTGGAATACGACCAACCCTGTTCCGGTACAAAAGCAGCTTTTTAGAAAGACACAAACTTTTTGTTTGACTTTTTAAGGAAAAACTATGTAAACAGTAAACTGTCTAATAAAACTATCATTCTGTTAACTCGACCTGGGTTCTTATCATAACCGAAGTCACACAAACCCACACAAATATCCAAAGTCTGCAACTACCAAGGTTAAAATGAGGCCAAGTTAAATTAAATCAAATTTAATTTAAATTAAAAGGCACTTTCCCAGAAGTGTTTTTCCTCTGGCTCTAAGAAATGCAAGGGCATGTGCTGAACACATGAACACCCTGGCTGCTCTGACAAGCAGTACAGCTGGGTAAACGGCAAAGGCTCACTCCGTCTGACATGCAACAAGCATGTAGCAATTAGATTAAAGGCTACAATCTCCATTTTTCTATGGGCTAAGATCGGCTGGTCCCATACCATAAATCTGGTCTTTACATTTCCTAAGGAATCAGAATCCCCTAGCAAGCTGTAGATCAACACACCAAGCCCCACGTGTCACAGGGTATGAACTCTGAACATCAGGCAACAGAATAATGAATATGGGCCCTAAGTGTTCCAAAGGCCACAGGTCCCTAACCACACAGTGAGCTACTCTAAAGCACTGTTATTCAAAAGCTCGCCCTTTCCCATAGGAGAGCCCCTTTCTCACTTTGTAGCTGGAAATCAAGACAATTGTAACACAGCCAACACTACATAAATCAAATGAGCAACTCTGCTTTCTGTGAAAATGCTATAGAGAATAAAGACACACAGGCCTGGTTACAAAGTAATATCACTATCATTGTGGCAACTTATAATTATCTAAAAACAAAATGAAACCAGAGAACACACCGCACCCCGGGCCGCAGACAACTGGGCTTGTGGGAGGAGGGGAGAAGTCACCTTTCACTCCTGAGCTCGTCCGAGGCTTTCTGTTCCTCATACTCCATTTTGTCCTTGTCGGTCTGGCTTATTTCCTCACTTTCCAAAACCACTCCTTCCTCCGGGGTTTTTGGTCCAGGTCTACTCACTTTCAACTTCCTTTTCTTAACTTTACTCCGGGTAAACTCTGGATACTGGCTCGCTCTGTCACTGTCCATGTCCTGATCTCTACAGCCCTCAGGCAGCTGCGTCATTGTCCTTTTGGTGGAAATGTCCTGCGGGAGGTCCACTGCCATGCGCTTCACCTTCCTCCTCCGGCGGAGCGTTCTGTTCCCAAGGTTGTCCACTGCAAAATCGGACTCGTGCCACAGGAGTCTCTTACCTCGAACACTGTTGTTTAAGTTTGAGGACGGCCTCCGCTTCGCCACTAATATTTGGTCATCGGAGTCACTGCGCTCCTTTTTAGTACTGCCATGCCTCTCTCTATAGTCCTTACTTGGCTCTTCCAAACTAGAATCGGAGCCTTCACTTAAGCAGTGGCCAGTAGTCTCCCACGGGTGGTGAACATTATAGGACCTCCGCTTTCTCCCTCTCCTCTTCCGGGCCTGGCGTTTCAGGGGGCAAGACAGATTTCGAGAATGATCTGCCGTTTCAGCAAATCCACCTCGGGCTTGCTCAGAGCTCTCTTCCAGTGCAGAGACAAGATCGTGAACAAGCTCTTCCATTGTTCGACTGAAATGCCTATATATTTTAGAGAACAAAAAAATAAAGTCAGTCGGCATTAACCTAGTTTTCTACACAAGCAATTCACTCTAAATATGGCTATAATTAATATTCTCCACAAGATGTCTGAAAGGAATATGACTGAACTATTCAAAGGATGACAGCTTCAATCTGATTAGTATAAATTTTTGTGCTTTTTTTTTTTAATTTAACATAGGAATAGCTGGGTGTGAAGGCATATACCTACCTATAATCTCAGCACTCATAAAGCTAAGACAGAAGTATTGAATTTAAGTTTGAAGTCAGTCTGGGATACAAAGCAGAGCCTGTCTCAAAAGACAAATTCCTAACACTGGAATCACTTCAAGACAGGTTAGATCCAGTTCAGGTTAAATCCAGGTGGTGGCAGTGGGATCAGCACGTTAAGCTCTTGCTGTACAAGAGTAAGGATCTACATTTACATCTCCAGCACCCATGTAAAGGGTACAGAGGCACACATCTGGTACCCCAGCACGTGGGTAGAGACAGGCAGATCTTGTGGGCTCACTGGTTGAGCTCTAGGTTGAGTGACAGACTGTCTCAAAAGAATAAGGTAGAGAAAAATGATTGAGGAAGACCATTAGAAGTCAGTCTCTAGTATCTACATGAAATATGGGTGAACACACCTAAAACCACACACACACACACATACACACACAGGATTCCCAGTATTTTTACATGTTTATTATGTAACTATAGAAAACATTTTTCTGCATAAACCACTGTTCCTCAGTCCACACCTGCCCCTTTTCTAAAATCAACTGCCTTAAAATGTTCTCAGTCCCTTCCCTCCCACTAATTCTAAGTAAAGAAGGCATACAATCTACTTCCATGCTTTATCTCATCACTGCCAGCATAGCAGAGGTACACAGAAAGGTATTTCCAAATGTGTATCAGATACAAAAAGAAAGTTTAACCAAACTGTGGTCTTATGTTCAGGCCACTAAACACTCAGCAAGTGATGTAGAAACTGTATTCCATTCCAACTGGAACCTCAGTGCGCTGCAGGGCCATCACTAACACATTCTGAAGCAGCCTACTAACAAGTCTTTTTGTCATCAAGCCGTCAGCAACTGGGATGGTTGGAGCTTTACTAAATTATGTAGCTATTTCCACATTCAGTCCCCAGTGGAGTCAAATTAGTCAGTGTGACAATTTTTAAATGGTCTAGGTGCTACACATGTGCACCTTTCTTAGGAAAACTGTGACCTATCACTTCTCAAATTAAGTTTAACAGGCACCCAGGGCATCAAAATATTCCCAACAGTCTTCTAGAGGCCAATAAAGCCTGCAGAGTTTGTAAGAGGAGTAAGCACACCGCTTTCACAGAGGGCTAGGTTACAAATACTAGGCTGTGTAGGCCATTCATCTCTTATCAGTGGACTTCTCATTATTGGTAGCCATAAATAAATGAGTCCCACTAGGTGGTTTTCCTTCACTTTGAATAAAATCAAGTGGTATCCAAGCAGTTTTCCAAAACTTGGTCCACATCATCTCTACTTATATCCAATCTCTATCATCTACATATTTTAAGCTTTACAGAGTTCCCTATGACAGTTTGAAACTTTTTACTTTCATTTAAAACCTAAGGTGATTTAATGGGTTAGTATTTACAATCCTACACACAGCTAAAGGTTGAGTGTTTAGTACCTGTCAATATGTAAACTATACTATCTTACTGCATTCTCACACAACACCCCTGGGGAGACAAGCAAAACAAATAGCAAGAGACTGGTTGCTGTGACCTATCTTAGTGGTACATAAGGGTTTCAAGTCCTAGCATCTGATTCCAGAGCATCAGTGCTTATCAAGGGCAGCAACACCAGCTGCCACAATTCCACCATCCACGCTTTGTAGTTTTGCTTCACTACCAAAACTGTTAAGACAGGCTTAATGCACATCAGTGTAAGAGCTAAAGGCTCATGTTTAGTTACCTGGTATACTGTCTCAACAGAAAGACATCGAGAAAGCCTAAATCAAACAAGATGTCGGGCAGCGTGGCTGGCGAGGATGAACTGAGCTCAGGAAAAGTACCCTGCAGGCTGGCAGAGTAAAGCCTGAGACAGGGGATTAATGCAGCTCCAGACCCAGCTCCTCTGGCAATCTGAATATATAAACAAAAATATTCACAACAGTTTTCAGGCACAAAGGGATTCAAACATGTATTTTAAAGAAACTCTAGAAATCATGAGATTTCTTTCTTCCTTCAAAAGGCTTCAATATGTAACTCTGGCTTTAGAGTACAGCATAGACAGACCTATGCTTCCCATCCAAAGTGGTTATCAAGCCAACAGGAGCTATAACCCTGACTATCTGATAAGCAAGGTGGATCTTTTATCTATTACTTGTGTGTTAAGAACTGTCTGTTTCCTCTTAGTGCAACTAATGACTTGTCCTTTAAAACTAAATCTGAAGAAGGTAATCTGAAAAGCCTATTATCTCTGAATATAAGAGTGGATCTTTAAACAAAATTCACTTAAAGACAGTTTTGTGCCGGGCGGTGGTGGCGCACGCCTTTAATCCCAGCACTTGGGAGGCAGAGACAGGTGGATTTCTGAGTTCGAGGCCAGCCTGGTCTACAGAGTGAGTTCCAGGACAGTCAGGGCTATACAGAGAAACCCTGTCTCGAAAAACCAAAAAAAAAAAAAAGACAGTTTTGTATACACTTGCTAAGTACAACCACAGTTGACCTTCACAATTTTAAGGAAGGAAAACCATTTCTGTTTTAGAGTCTACATCAGTGGTTTCCAATTGTCCTAATACTACAACCCTTTAATACAGCTCTTCATGTTATAGTGAACCCCCAAATATAAAATAATTTTTGTTACTATTTCACAACTGAAATTTTGCTACTGTTATGAATCATAATGTAAATATCTGATATGTAGGATATTTAATATGCGATCCTTGTAAAAGGGTCATTTGATCCCCCAAAAGGGTTGCCACCCACAGGTTGAAAACCATTGGTCTAGAGAAGTACAAATTCAGTATGTACATAGTCAGTCAAGAACTACATTGATGAATGTACAGCATATGATGACCACTCACAAACAAGAACACAGTGATGGAATTATATACTACCATATCATGTAACCACTACATTTTATTTAAGATTTAAGATTTAAAAAGAAAAGGTTATTTAAGAAAGGCTATTTGGTCTTCTAAATATACAGCAACTGGCCCAAAGGTGCAAATGAAAATGAATACATAATACTATGGATTATGGCAACGAGTAAATACACATAACTAGTAAAAGGAGCCACACCATGGGAAAGGTCTACATTAAGACTAATCAAACAAAAATATGATCCATAAGATTTATCTTAAGTGTTAAAATTTCTAATGCTCAACAGAACTTAAAATTTTCCTTCCTTAATCATACTGTCACTTATCAAAGTGAGTCTTTATCTCAAGCAAGAGCAGTAGGGGTGTGGCTCAGTGGTAAACTACCTGCCTAGCATGCTCAAAGCTCTGCGTTCCCCAAACCACTACAACAATGAAATGGATCTTGACAGGGCCGTTTATTAAGAGGGTATGTCTTGGGAGGGAGGGATGGCTCAACAGGAGTTAAGCATCCTTGTTACCTTTCCAGAGGATCCAAGTTTGGTGCCCAGCACTCAGGTAATGCAGCCTGCAACCACCTAAATCTCCAGCTTGGTGGGTAAGGAGATGCAAGGAATCCTATAACCTTTTCTGATCTCCTTGACATACACACAGGAACAAAAATGAAAAACTGGTTCTTCAAAACCAAAAAAAGAAATAATGTCTTCCGGCTTGGTCTAGTGGATCTTGCCTGTGACCTTAGCATTTAAGGAGGCAGATGGAGAATTCTCTCAAATGTTGAGACTACCTGAGCTACACGGTTGAGACCCTGCCTTCAACGTATCTGATTCCTGCTTTAATATCTAGATAGGAATAAGGGAGAGCTAAGGAGAAGAATCTTTCTCCTGGTTAGGAGTCACGATGTTCTCTAACAAACAGGCAAGTCCACTCCCCTTAAGCACACCAAAAGCTCCACTGACTGCATCCAGTTGTCCTGTCTGCTGGAAGCTACAGCTCTGTCACTTTGCCACCAGAGACATCTGAGGAAACCATTTCCTTTCCTCTTTACCCTAGAAAAATTTTACAAACTTAATCAGCTGACCTATAAGACAAAAATGAAGATTAAAGTCTATCTCTACTTCTCAGCTAATGACTTGATAACGTGAGCTCATTCATCAAGCCTGATGACCATTTCTTGATTTTGTTACTTCATTCAATGACTGACTTCAAGAGTCACCCAAACTTTCCTCACTGCCTCTGATTGCTTTCAAAATGTAAATTACTTATTTTTTTTAATGTGTAGACAAAATGCAGTCAGAATCTAAGTCAAACAAGACCAAAAAATTTGAATTTAAAAAGTAATTCATTCTGTCAACAAGTTTTGGTAGGGTAAGAAATGTCTTGATTATTGCTTATCCGTGACGACTGCACAGTAAATATTTACTGAATATATATCCTGAATTCCTAGATTAGGAACATGAAAACAGCTAAGATTTAAATATAAGTCCCTAGCATACTGCTTGACATATAACCAGATGATAAGAACATGTAGGACATCCAAACCAAAGAGAGAATGTGATGTTACTAAAATCTTCCGAAAATAACAATTTTAGCTTTTCTGCTATGTGAATAAGACACTAAGAGTTTACATAAAGGTGAAAATGAAAACAAGTCATCAAAGCTTAAAGGTTTCCAGACTGACACACAAAGGAAGCTAAGAAGCTAGTCCACAAGTATTTGCCTCAAATTATACTGTCTATTGCTTTGATCTTTAACTGAAGGAATATATGGAATCAAGCAAAGTTAACAGTTTATGAAACTGAGTTCAAGACCCTAACCAACCAAAAAACAAACAAATAAACAAACCCCAGCTACTCAAAACAAGCAGTTTTTATTATGTTGCTTTCCAAATGTCAAGAAAATCAAATATCAAATAAGAATGAAATTGCAGGAGAAAAGATTCAGATCCCATTTCAATGGCTTTTTATTGTTGTTAAAACAAAGCCACAAAACACAGCTTAAAAAAAAAAAGACTATCTCAGAAATTGCAGGCTAGTCTACAAATCTGGGCACGTACTTTCTAATTCATAGATGCCTATAGATACTACTTTAGTCAGACAGAACATGAGTACATTAGGCTGGTGATTTACTTCAAGTACACTAGAATCATACTGTAAACCTCTTAGAGATGTTATTTAAATTATCTTCGCCTCTGCTGTCACCTTATCTCGTCTATAAAGAATATATGATGTCTATCATGATGTCTATCGCAGAGGATTTACATGAAATGACATACACAGAATCAAGGCCAACTAACTACTTAGTGGTAGCAACCACCAATAGCATGGGGACTTCACAACTTGGACAAAACAACTGTGCAAGGCAATGCAAGAATTAAACAAACAAAAAAAAAAAAACTGCATTAAGAAATAGCAAAGCCTGGGCAAGGTAGTGCTCTAGCCACCTGCGGTTCCAGTGCTGGGAGGCTGAGACAGGAGGGCTGCCGGGAGGAAGTCAGCCTGGGCTACAGCGCAAAACTCAGCAGCAGACAGGGAAAGAGAGCAGAAAGGAAAGGGAGATTGCTGGTGAAGGAGGGAAGGAAGGAGGAGGGGGAGGCACATTAACTAGAAAAGAAAGGGTTCGGTTTTGTGGAACACACCGCTTCTCACAATTAAGACTCATTTTAAGACTTTCTTTGAAATACAAGAGCTGATAGGTGCTAATGGCACTCTGGTCTCCTTACAAGTAAAAGCATTAAGTGCAAGTAACTCCCGTTTATAGTAATAACATGTCAATAGACAAGTAATGTATCTCTATGAGTGATAGAAGACAGAAAGTACAAGGAAGAGAAAATGGAATCACAGATTGGTTTGTCTGTCTGTCTGTTTGTTTGTTTGTTTTTCTCAACTAGCACACAAATTACTTCCTCTCTACTAGGGCCAAACCAATCTACTGAACACATTTCACCTCCTTACCAAGGCTTCGAACACTAAAACATTAGGAAAAGTACACTTTAGAGGAAACACCAGAACGTTGGGAAGTTCCTTTCGTCTTTTCTGTGGTGGTTCCTACCGCATGTACAACTGCCAAAGCTAAGACAAACGAATGCATTATGACCTGTGCCTCTTATTCCAAGCTGAGTACACCAATGAAAACTGCTCATGTACAAAGCACCTCCTACTACTCTACTACTCTAACAAAAACGACACTTGTTCAAAATGATCTCTCTCTCGAGAGGAGCCAAATAAGGCATCTGCCCTAAGATATTCTTTTAATTTTTGTCAGTGATGCAAAACAAGCAGAAATCAGAGCCCACTGGCCTGAACTTTAAAATCACAGTTCTTGACTTACTGGTCAGATGTTTATGTTTCAGGATTGACCGCAGGGGATCTATCTACTTTCTTGTTACACTAATGTTTCTCTGAAGGGAAAAGCCTTGAAAGAAAACGGGGGTGTGGGGGAGCGAAGGTTGGGCGACCAGGGTTTTCAACCAGAAAATCCAAAACTTAACATCTCTGGCACTCAAGGGCACAGAAAACTTTGCCTCTTAAATTTTCTGTGCCTACGAGTCTCCTACAACAGAGATGCCATAAGGATCATGTGTGATTTGTGAAAGCAGTTTGGGAACTTACAGCGATGGGTGAGGATACACTAAAGACAAATTCCAATCCCAAACCTAAGGCTACTGGAAAACACCCATCTCACGGAAACTAGGACAGAACCTCCTGGGTGGTGGAAAACTTCTAGGTTTTACACGAACCGAGCTGCGCAGGGAGTACGAGAGCCTGATGTCTCTTCCACTAAGAAACTTCCTGGACTGGGGATTTCTGTAATCTTGTCACCCACGGAATCTAGTACACTGTGGCCGGTTTGGCTGGGGCAACGGGAAGGCGTCCTGAAGGAAGTCGGTGCCCAGCTGTCCCTGACCCGGAGCCCCGCGAGCTGTTCTCTCGCCCCGTTCCCAACGGCCCGCCGGGCTCACCAGCTCTTCCGGGCGGCGGCGGCGGCGGCTCCGATCGCTGGGCGCCCGTCGGCCCCAAACATCAACGACACCCGGGAGCGCGGCCTCGAGGCTCAGGCCCGAGGACCGACTCCAACTCCTGCAGCCCCAGTCACTTCCACACAGCACTTCAGCATTTTTGAGAGCAACTTCCGGGAGCCGGCTGGAGGCGGAAACCGGAAGCCGGAAGCGACCATTCGCTCCCTTTCGCGTGGTGGACCCTTCCCGTAAGCGGCTCGAGCTTCTAGGAGAAAGGAGCTTGTCGGCTGGAGTCGGTTCTGATATGAACAAATCTGATTTCTCTGTCCAGTTACTTGAAACTGAAACAGAGTGGAAGGAAAGGTGAAAAAGTCGGAAGTGCCCTTGGTTCAGCCCAGTTGCCATGGACACTGATAGTAACAATTTTGATGAACTCCTGGCCTTGGAGACCATGGCTACTTTAGCCAAGCTGCTGGCACGGGCTCCCTTTCTAGAAAGTCAGTACTACTTTAGAAACCGGTGAGTAGCGAAGAGAGGGGTCTTAGAAGAAGTTTACTGTTAACAAGTTACTTCAAGAAATTTTTCTAAATTCTCCCCATGGTGATTCAAACTTGATCAGAAATTTAAATATATATATATATATATATATATGTATGTATATATATATATATGTATATATGTATATATGTATATATGTATATATGTATATATATATATTGCACAATTGGATTATATATACATTGACAAGTCACTAATAGGTTGATATACCCTAAGAAAGATCCCAGAATAGAGAATTATTAAGGGCAGCCCAAAATGAAGTGATCCCTCACTGGTGAAACAGGCAGGAGGATCATTGTGAGTCCAATTCAGACTGGACGACACAGAAAATTCAAGGCTGCCCTGAGCAATACTGGGGAGTCTCCCTCAAAGTACTGTTTTGTTTTGTGGGTTTCTTTTCTTCTTCTTTTCTGCTATTTTAAAATAATCACTGAGCAGTTTGGTTTGGTGAAACCTATTTTACACAATAAAGGACTAGTGACCTAGCTGATATTAACCAGGCTACCCAGGTAATTCCATGAACTCAGAATGTCATTGTCCAGAAGGGAATTTGAGCTTCACTTATCTCACAAACATCATGGAATTCATCTGTGATTCATTTGTGTTAAGGGGAAGTTTCTACACCATTGTGACAAGATAATTAGTACCAGTCAATGGGCAACAGCTAAGACAGCCTTCTCATCCCCCACACCTAAACCTCCTGTCCATGAAAGGGGGCATTGAAACTAGAAGTAATGCCGCAGCGGTTTAAGTAACTTAGAAGAAACCACAAAAAATACACTACAAAAAGCATGATAAAATACAGCAGACAGTGTGAGAAAGTCCTGATAAGCTATTCTTATCCTAACATACTATGATGTTGCTCTTTCATCGTGAACCTCTAGCATAATTCAATGTAGCGATTTTTATGAGATGGTATGGATCTTCTTCCCAGACATGGGCCAGTGTTGCTTTTTCTTGCCTCTTATTTTAACCATTATTTCAGCCCCTACTGTCTTATTTCCTAAAATGGAATAGCCACAACAATTATTTAGTGAATAATTACATTGCTGAAACTTCCAATTAATCATCTTTAAATAAGCACAAAGCAGTGGAATTCTTATGCTTAACATTCAGAAATTATTTAGCATTCGTTTAGAGTTATGTGGCAGGCTTGTGTTTGTTTATGACTTCAATGTGCAACAGAAACAAGTTGAGCTTGCTGTTGACAGCCTATTGTGAAGCACCCATTTAAAAAGGAATTGTGATGCTCTCTAAGTCAAAACTGAGCGACTGATTTACTTTTCCATAGCTGGCATTCAGAGTGCCACTGTGTGCTAGGCAAGCTGTTAAAGGACATAGGTCACTCAGTTCACACGAAGCTGTAGACCCTGTGTACTTAAATACTGAACTACCTGGGAAGATATGTCCAGGGGAGCAATAGTGGGATAGCTCTTCTGAGGGTAACCAATCACTTCCTGGTTGGATTAGAGAATTAGAAGGAATGTATACTTAAAACTGTAGAACTAGCCAAAGGCTTGGGTAAGGAGGGCCCAGGCAAGAAAGTAATCATATGTGATATAAGTATGGGCTAGTGAGATTTCTGAGTAGATACAAATATGCACCTGCTGCCAAGCTCTATGACCTGAGTTTGATCCCCAGGATCCACATGATGGAAAGAGAAAACAGATTCCTGGAGAGGTCAGGGGACCTCTTCAAACATATAGATACTAAACATTAAAAATAATAAATAAAATGTAATCAAATTTTTAACTAATATATTGAAATTTAAAGAAGAACATTTCTTGAGAAATTCTTGTCATTCCCCAATGGCTACTGAGTACAGTAGCTCTTCATGAACATATCCTCTAGAGTCATCCGGGATATCTGTTAAATGTGTTGATTCTGATTCAGTGTGTCTCAGAGCCAGGAAGTCTGCATCTCTGGCAGAAGCTCCTGTGGGGCCCTGTTTTGCATTTCAAATGGACACTAGGGAAAAAAGCTACATAGGGTTTTTTTCTGCAATTGGCTAGCACTCTTCTAAACGATGTATTTATTTCCTAATCCAGAAGGAAAGGAAAATGAGAGTCAGTCTGAATACTCTGTGCAGGGTTACATAGTGTTGTACACTTCCACAGGACAAAATTCTCTTTCCCCTAAATGGTGTGGCTGGAGCAGTGGGAGGAAACCCCAAGCTCTGCTAGTCCAATGGCTTAAGTGAACTGTAGCTGTACTCATTACCAGGAAGGCAACAGCCTTATTTTAATGCCATTCTTCAGTGTCTACAACAAGGTAGTGACTCAAAGTGTCTCTATCTCATTACTGGCACCGGAGTAATGCTAAAGTAGAAAGATGATTTTGTTGTGAAAATATATTACTATGTACCAAGATTTGTTATTTTCACATGATAAATTTTTCTTTAAAATTTTATTTGTAATGTTAATATTGATCCTGCCAGGCATTTTGGCTCAGTTTTATAACCCCAACCCCTGGACTAAATAATGTGTTCAAAGTGGGCCTCAACTATTGGAAAAGGTCCTATGTTTAAAAAAAATCTTCTTTATCTTTTAGGGATTAATCATATATTCCTCATTACTGAGGCAAATATGGAATACTTTCAGTCAAAACTAAAGAAGTTCACGACAGGCTGAGTTAATACCTTCCCATTTGTTACTGTGCTTACCAAATGGACATTTAACATGTTACAATGTTTTAAGCTAATTTAAATTTCCTATTTTTCATAACTTTGTTTGTGTGACATATATATATTTTGGATTTGGAATTAACTTAATTTTTGTTCTCATCAGAACTTAATACTAAGCACAATACACATGCATGCACACAGTCATACCATTCACAAAATTTTTTAAAATATGATTATAGCTACCTTATGTGGTACCTTTTATTATTCATTGATTATAACTAAGGGAAGTCTGGTTTAGTTAGCCTAAATCATTTGTCAAAGATCAGAAACATCAAAGATCTAGTAATTTTATCTTTGTGTGTGTGTGTGTCTGTGTGAAATTGTATTTGGTATAAGCAGTGCTTAAATCATTGAGTTCCTGCATTAAAGTGTTTCAAAAGGAGATCAAAGGGATAAAAATTGGGAAGGAGGAAGTCAAAATATCACTATTCACAGATGATAACCCCAAAAATTCTACCAGAGATCTGCTACAACGGATAAACAACTTCAGCAAAGTGACTGATATAAAATCAACTCTAACAAATCAGTAGCTTTCCTTTACTCAAAGGATAAATGGGCTGAGAAACAAATTAGGGAAACAATACCCTTCACAGTAGTCACAAATACTATAAAATATCTTGGTGTGACTCTCACCAAGCAAGTGAAAGATCTAAATGACAAGAATTTCAAGTCCCTGAAGAAAGAAATCAAAGAAGACCTTAGAAGATGGAAATATTTCCCATGCTCTTGGATTGGCAGGAGTAATATATTAAAAATGGCCATCTTGCTGAAAGCAATCTACAGATTCAATGCAATCCCCATCAAAATTCCAACTCAATTTTTCATAGAGTTAGAAAGAGCAATTTGCAAATTCATTTGGAATAACAAAAAACCCAAGATAGCAAAAACTATTCTCAACAATAAGAGAACTTCTGGAGGAATCACCATCCCTGACCTCAAGCTGTACTACAAAGCAATAGTGATTAAAACTGCGTGGTCAAGATCAATGGAATAGGAGAGAATACTCAGAAATGAACTCACATACCTATGGTAACTTGATCTTTGACAAAGGAGCTAAAACTATCCAGTGGAAATCTTTTTTCAACATTTTCAACAAATGATGCTGGTTCAACTGGCACTCAACATGTAGAAGAATGCAAATTGACCCATTCTATCTCCTTGTATAAAGCTCAAGTCCAAGCAGATCAAAGACCTTCACATAAAACCGGATAAACTGAAACTAATAGAGGAGAAAGTGGGGAAGAACCTCGAACACATGGGCACAGGGGAAATTTTCCTGAATAGAACAACAATGGCTTATGCTCTGAGATCAAGAATCAACAAATGGGACCTCATAAAACTGAAAAGTTTCTGTAAGGCAAACGACACTTTCAATAGGACAAAACAGCAACCCACAGATTGGGAAAAGATACTTACCAACCCTGCATCCAATAGAGGGCTAATATCCAAAATATACTAAGTACTCAAGATGTTAGACTCCAGAGACCCCTATTAAAATCCTGTTAAACCCTATTTAACCCTATTAAAAAATGGGGTATAGAGCTAAACAGGGAATTCTCAGTGGAAGAATCTCGAATAGCTAAGAAGCACTTAAAGAAAAGTTTGACATCCTTAGTCATCAGGGAAATGCAAATCAAAACGACCCCGAAATTCCACTTTACACCAGTCAGCAGAATGACTAAGATAAAAAACTCAGGTGACAGCAGATTATGGTGAGGATTGAAGAAAGAGGAACATTCTTCAGTTGCTGGTGGGACTGCAAACTGGTAAAACCACTTTGGAAATCAATTTGGTGTTTCCTGAGAAAATTGGAAATAGTTCTACCTGTAGACCCAGCTATACCACTACTGGGCATATATACAACATACAACAAGGACACATGCTTCACTATGTTCATTGCAGCCTTATTTATAATAGCCAGAAGCTGGAAACAACCCAGATATCCCTCAACAGAAGAATGAATACAGAAAATGTGGTACATTTACACAATGGAGTACTACTTAGCTATTAAAGACAATGACTTCATGAAATTTGCAGGCAAATGAATGGAAGTAGAAAATATCATCTTGAGTGAGGTAACCCAGACACAAAAGAACACACATGGTATGTACTCACTGATAAGTGGATATTAGCCCAAAAGCTCGGAATGCCCATGATACAACCCACAGTCCATATGAAACTTAGGAGGAAGGAAGACTAGTGTTCTGCATTGAGAGGGAAACAAGATGATCTCTCGGGAGGTAGAGGAAGGTGGGGGGACATGGGAAGGAGAGAGGAA